AAGTTGTTTTGGTTTCATTTATTTTTTAAAAGAAAGGTCTAATGACAAGTGTCTTTAGGTGTCCTCCCTCAAATCTGAAGAAAAAGGAGTCTTGCTGTCTCCCTTCCACCAGATTGCTCTGGTCTTTTCTCCAGTATCATAAAGGCTCTTTCCTTCACATCCCCTTTCTAAGCAAGGGATCATGCAAACAGTTAATAGCCCCTTAATTAAACATACTCATTACACTGTGATTTTGCCCTGTATTTTATGTGCCTTTTTGAAAATGGTATCACTAGGTAGCTGATGGTGTGCTTGAGCATTGAGCAATAGTTTTTGTCTTAGTCTCCCATGCAAAAATGAGAGGGAAAGGAAAAGAGACATTGAGGGAGGGGAAGGAAAAGCGGGGAGCCACGAACCTCCACATTTGGCTGTAAGCATTTTCTTGTAATGGACAGGTTTTGCTGGTGTGACCTGTGTCTTTGAGAATAGAGTTCATACAAGAATGAAGGAGGCTGAGTTCTTGGTCAGGTTGTTACGTGATCAGTCACCAAGTGTATATAGACATAATTTTCTTGTCAACTGAGTTATCTTTTCTTCCTTCCTTGCTGTCATCTTCTGCTCTCTTTTACATGCTATATGCTTATTTTGTAAGCAACTGACAATTTCATTAAATTGTTGAGAAATGATGATTGTATTGTAGTATTTTTGAGAGTGGCTACTGGGATCAGAAATGGTCAGGCACACTGCTGAAAGGAAGTGGCTTCTCTGCTAAAATATACATGCTAACATTTCCTATGTATTTCTTAAAGATAAATGGCAACAAACATTTTTACATAGTTTATAGATCTAAAAATTATCACCCTTTTTGCTCCTACTTTAAGTGTTGTCTAAATTAGGGCATTTAATAAGTTAGCAATTAGGATGAGTACATTTCATTAGAATTTTCCTCATTTAAATGCAAACTTTATTTCCAACAAACGATATTTCACATAATACACATTTTCCTCCTTTTGATTACTCATAGTTGACACTACATTCACAACGAAGTTGTGACATTTTATTACTCTAACTCTGATCACTACAGTGATGACAATAAGGGCTGTTGGGGGTGCCTCAGTTCATTTTATCCCTTCACTGAATGTCCACAGACCATGGTATCAAATATGTCCCAAGGATACAGAAGACCCTGACTACTTAAAATTTTCTTTTGTTGGTAGCTACACCCCCAAATTGCCTTTGAATAAAGCAGGCTGTATTGTGCTCCTTTAGTTTAGGTAAATGGGTTGAAGTTGGATTCATGTTTCAAGTATGGGAAAATATGAATTATGTCATATCTGCTTTTCAACCAGAATCTCTTTTCATTTATCTCTTGATGCATGGCTATGTTCCATATGGAAGCTTCAAAGAGCATCTGATTTACACAGAAGTGGAAATATTCTCTACTACCCTATTATTTTTTTCAACCTACAAAAATTAAAATTGAATACCCAAACTTAAGTTATCAAAATTATCAACACACACACTTGACTTTTACTTATAAAAACATATAAAAATGTAATTTACACTGTGGAAGATATGTGACTATAGATTTAGTCAATAAATCATGGAGTATTTCATCTGAACATGCTGAAATATTAAATACCACTACCTGTTATAAAATATTTTAAACTTTTCTCATACCATTTGCAGTTTAACAAGAGAGTACATTTTCTTATATAAATTTTAATTACATTAGAATCATTGAATCTTGAAATTATTCAGATATTAAACAATTATCAGGGGTTAGGGGTGGTAGCACACACTTTTAACCTCAGCACTCAGGAGGCAGAGGCAGGTAGATTCTTTGAGTTTGAGGCTAGCCTAGTCTACAGAGTGAGCTACAGGATAGCCAGAACTACAGAGAGAAACCCTGACTCAAAGAAAAAATTCAGGTAAATAATAATTACTTTTCATGATTCAACAAATACTCTTAATTTGTCCCACACAGTCAGACTCAAAAAGAGAAACTGTATGCAGTGGATGTGCTCCCTCAGCAAGCTGAAGCCTCTGGTGTGTCCCAGTGCAGCGCCTGTGTATTAAACAAGAACGCTGCTATTATCCACCAGGTGCCATTTCAAAAGCAAAAGTCTAGCCAGGCGTGGGCGTACGCTTTTAATCCCAGCATGCAGCAGGCAGGGGCAGGCAGATTTTTGTGAGTTTGATGCCACCTTAGTCTGCATAAAAGTTCCAGGTCAGCTGACTCAGTTTCACACACACACACACACACACACACACACACACACACACACACACACCATTTATTGGTGTGTGCATGCATTTATATATGTGTGTAGATAGATGATTGATAGATCTAGATATACATATATAGTATCAGAGGAAAACAAAATCCAGTACTTCCAGTACTTTGGTATTCTAATAGTTTTTCTTTCATAAGAAAGAAGACTTTACAAGACACTGATAATGGCAGATTTTATCCAGGAAGTAATTTTATATCTCCAAAAACATGTTCACATTGTGTTGTTTTTTTTTAATAGCAATTATCAACACCTGAAGATATAGCAAAGATTTTTATGGCTCCTTAACTTTTACAGCTCTGGAGTCTATTTAATAAGAGATAATTAAAAAAAAAATAGAAACAAAGAAAGGAAAGAAAAGAAAAACAGAAACAGCTTTTGCCTACCTAACTCAGGCTTTTTATAAAGACCGTCTTTTTAAGATGTGCATTCCATGCAAGCTTATTAGATTTCCTCATAGGTAAGTCACAGAAAGATTTACTTGTCTTAGGTACAACTTACCAAGCTTTTGTTGGTAATTATGTTTGAATATGTTATTCCTAAATCAAGCTTTTCTTGATTTCACCATTATCTCACTGCATTGCTGCTAAGCTTGGGAGCAGAGATCACATCAGAAAGTAAATGCTATAAATTCTGTTCTTAATAAGTGAAAAGGTAATAAAAAAAATTCAAGATCATAATAGTTCATTATAACAAACTATTGCTACCATACAAGGTACTAATCTATGTTTTATTTTGTTATTTTTTGATCCTTTTAAATTTATTTCCCACCTACAGGTAAAAAAAAAAAATACCTGCCAATTAAAAACAAAACTGAGAATCTGTGAGTTAAAATTTTTTATATGATGGGCAGCCTTGAACTGCAGTTCCAGGCTAGGATACACTGGAAATTATGGCTGTGCTGAAACCATGTAATAAGAGTCCTTACCTCTAGTCTCTTCCCAATAAGTATGTCTTTCCTCAAATCAAAAAGTCATCTCTTTAGAAAAAAACAAAATTTCATTGTTTGCTTCAAAGCTCTAAATAGCTTTAAAGCTGTTTTCTACGCCCCAAAACCCAAACTTACTACCTTCAGGTAAAACTATATCTCTTATTGTGTGCCTCAAATTACTAAATCCACTGTATTTCTCTCTAAGCAATTTAAGTGTCTCTGCAACTCTCCTCCTGGAGTAACAAGCAAACCATGGGCCATTGCCAACATCATCCTCCACCTCCATGTGCTAATGCTGACTCTTCCCTTTGGTTTAGATAGTCCTTTCTGTTTCTCACTCTTAGTCCCTAGTTAAGTAGCACTTTTTCCATGAAGTTCCTAACCTGCCCCCTCCCAGAGATTGTTCCATTACTTTGTATTCTATAGTTCAATTAACACTGGATTTTGGCACAACACATTGCATTGCTTTATTCCCCTCATTCCTCCTATACCTTGTGTTTTCAAAGGTAAAGACTGCGCCTTGGCCTTGAATTGAGGACCCAGCACACAGCAGAACTTCAGTGTTTTCTGAGCAGAGGAAAGCCTATTATGGGATGTTGTCTTTCTATTACTTCGTACTCAGGCTGTATACTACACTAGTATAGATGAGAAAAGCTTGCCTATACAAATCACACCTCAGAATAATGAAGAACCCAGTGAAATCATTCCTTTTTCCTAGTACTTCTACCAATTCAGTTGGAAAGAACAGTTCTAACTACAGAGCAAAGGTAAGCTCTACTGGTAGAGAAGGCGAGTTGGTAAATTTTTAATTTACTATAAATTGTGGCAGTCATAAGCGACTAGAAGGCTCTGATTTAACAACAGTGTGATGGGCTATATATTCTACTCAAGTTATTCGAAAATCATAGCTGCTAATGCTTTGATTGCCAAAGATTATAAGCAGAGACCAGACAGGTGGTTCTTTTCAATTCCAATATATATAATTCTATCATCCATCCATCCTCCATGCATTCACCCATGCATGCATGCATCCATCCATGCATCCATCCATCCATCCATTTCATCCACCCACTGATGAAAGCAAGATCTCTTAAAGCTCTAATGCCCACAATTCTGTGTTTTTGAAGATTAGATCCCAATTAAATGTCAATAGTCCCAAAGATCCTACAAGAACTTAGACTTGGTCCAAAAGAACTAGCGGGGAGGGGGCAAAATGGCTCACAGGGTAAAGATGCATCCTGTGCATGTCTGACAACCTGCGCTGGATGGAACCCATGTTGGAAGAAAAGCAAATCCTAAAAATTATTCTCTGACCTCCACATACCCACCCTCACAAATATATCAGACAGGCATGCATAGGCATACACACACGCACACACACATATACTCCACATGCACACACACTCACACGCATGTACAATAAATAAAACTTAAAAAGTGATTTGAAGGATGTAAAAACGGCATGCCTCACAAACACTAAGATGAAGTTTCTCCAAGGGTACTATTTGCCTAGGTGAACTCCTTACTCTTTGTGTGTCATTTCCCATATGAACCATAGGTTGGGACATACAACTAACTTTAAAGGGGTCCAACAAGTAGAAGAATAAGTTGTTTTTTTAAAAAATTGGAAAAGGGATTGCTGAAATTCTAAATGATATTTAAACATTGTTTACAGTGAGAGCATGTCAATGGTAGCAGCGTTCCTGTGGATTTGTTTGTTCTAATTGTTCAGAAATAGGAAGTCCCATGGTGTTAATAAGTATGCAACTTTGACACCACAACAACTCGGGATATACCTTTGCTTCTGCTGCATGGGCTGCTGTCTCATCGCCATGTACTGCATATCTTCCTGTAGACGGTTAAGAGGAGAATCTGGCTTCACACGAATCCCATAATAATGGTACTTGGAGTTTCCTCTTCACAAAAGAAGAATAAATATGGAAACAAGAAAAGTCAGTAGAGCTAAAATTAGCCATAAACTTCACACAGAAAAACTGGGTTAAAACAGTATACTAGCATTTCACATTTATGATTTAACTTTTCTGGATGACTGTTATATTTCTTCAGTGATATTCCAAATACCAAAATATGATTCCAAAATGATCACCTCAAGACCTCAAGGGTAAATATTTCCTTTACGCTTTCACTTAAATATTCACCAGATAGCGCATTTGCCCTACTCATGTTAATTTATGATCCACTATACATTTCTAATTTAATTCAGAAGGAAATGGTTGGGCTAATCACAATTCATCCACAGAAAAATCAATGTACACTAGACAGCAATTTTCCATAAACATTGAGAAAAAAAGCATTTATTCCATAGTCTTGGATTAATTCCTCTTTTGTGTTTATTTTAAAAATGATATTGTTACATTATTTGATGATTCATTTTTTTTAATGTTTTGAAACCTAAAAAGGAAAAAGGCACTTAATGTATTTCTTTTAAAACATATATTATTAGTCCCTGTTTTTTGTATTGAGTGATATCTGTTGTTTGCTAATAAGAGATACCATAAAACATTGAGAGAGTTCCCAGTAAAAATGGTGAAACGCTCCTAGAATAAAAATTTTGGAACTTCTTGGAAAATGAAAAATATCATGCTTAATATTAGAAATAACAATTTTTATTCTGAATGGAACTTGTAAATTCTTGCAAAATAATATTTGAAATATGTAGATTCTTGCAGAGAGACTAGTTTTTCACAAGTCTATATGTAACAATATGTCAGTGAGTGCTCTTCCAATTTTTTTTCTTTCATTTATAAGAAGAAATGAAAGTAGTGTGTGGATTAAATATTTTTAATGAAAATAGATAACTTTACTTCCAAAACCAACAAACGTACAGTAGATGAGCCATGTGTTTGAAGAGACATTAAAGTAATCAAGTCCTTACACTTTGAAATAAAAATGAAATAGAAGTGAAAACTGAATGTCTGCAGACAAAGACCTTCCACTTGAGAGATTAGATCTTGTTTACAAAGTCCACTGAAATCAGAGCAAAAGCCTCCAACAACACCTATCACAAATACACTCTGTAGCAGTCTATAGAAATTGGAGGTTGTAGGGAGTAAGGGAAGGGAAGAAGCAGGTGGCAAAATCATGGGATAAAACCACACAGTAAGTTGCTGTTTTTCTTCAGAGACTCAGTTTCTTGGGAATTAGCGAATTAGCATTGGGGTTGGAGTGAGAGGAATTCTCTTTATCCTACTAGGAATGGCCTGGGAAGAGCAGCACACCCAGGATTGTCCTCAGTCAGATTTAATTTGGAGAAGGGATCTATCAAAAGGTACCTTTTAAACTGCCTTTGGTAGAAATGCAATGGCTTTATAAGCTTTTTGTCTACTTCAGTACCAAAAGGAGGTTTGATCTGGTTTGATAATTTCACTAGATGATTTTGTTGACAGATAATGCTTCCAAAGAATGCTCACTTAAAAAAAAAAAAAAGCACATAGGATTTAATCTGCCTCTTGATTTGTACTGACTTTCCATTCATTCCTTGGAAAAGGAGTGAAAAGTTGACTCCAGGTTCCACCGCAGAATCTCTGAAAGTTCACCCCTACACCATCAGCTTTCTCTATTATTGCCATCCTAGCTTCTACACACTCCATTTGTTGAAACTCAACCCACAACATTTATTCCCTTCTTATTCTTTTAGGCTTTCCTTTCCAACTCATTGCAAGCACCACATACAATTTTAAAAGGATTGGGAGACAAAATCCTTGGGGGTAGGAAGCTGAAAGTAAGAGCTGCAGTAGTACAGAATGTACTTATAGAATATGGATTCTACTCATTCACAAACCCAACAACACCAATTCTGAACCTTTCTATTTTAAAGATGTGTTTCAACGTTTGAATAGAGCCTCAAAATAGGACCCATTGAAACCTTTTCAGTAACAAAAGCACTACAACAATACAGCTATTAGAATGTTGACTAAAGCCTAGAGTTTCAAAATATTGGCATCATACATGTAACTACTGAGCCCTCAGCTAGGAGATACTAGGTTAGGTCTCTAAATAATGGTGTTCCTGGTTTGGGGGGTAAAAAATACTAGAGAAACAGAAAGTTCTTTTTAAAAAGGAATGAAAGCTAGTTTTTCTCAGTCTGAATAGACAATCACATTCTGCAGTTTAAAATATACTACCTTTTGAAGTACCGGTAGAAGAATATATTTATGAAAGATCTGAACCTCTGGCAATTTGAAAGTTGCACATTTGCTTCAAAGTAAGCGAAAGGAAAAATCCACAGTTCAAACACATACAAACTTTCCTAAAACTAACAGGTTCTGGGCATACTGCCCCAAAATATAGTTGGCATTAGAGAAAACAGCAAAAAGAGGCCATGAAATTCTCTCACTTCTCCAGGGAAATGGGTGATGAACACAGCTGATATTCCTTGGTAAATCGGTCTTAGAACCCTCATGCCAAGGGTCCTAAGACCCTACATCTAGATGAAAGAAGTATCTTTTACTCTAAGGAGACAGTGTGGAATCTGAATGAAGGGCTTTCCTGGGCCACCCTTCATACTATTTATAATTTTAGATCACACCACTTTGTCCAATCATTCTCCTCCAGAACTGGCTACTTCATCAGTTAGCATAAAGTCACAATTTTAATTTTCTTTGAGTCTTTATATATAAAGACCTCACATTCTATAAAACATATAACATAGAAATCATTTCCTCCTTATCTTTAATTTTCCACTTGGGTCATTTGAGAAGAAAGCCCTCACTGAGAAGCTGCCTAGGTAAGACTGGCCTGCAGTCATGAGCTTGGAAGGAAGTCTGGATTATTAACTGATACAAGAGGGTCCAGTGTGAGTGGCACATGCAAAGGTACATGGTCTTAAGCTGTATGAGAAAGCTAGCTAAATAGGAGCCTGTGAGGGAGGCAGCAAGAACCATTCCTCATGGTTCTTGTCTCCAGGTCCCTGTCTTTAGCTCCCGGTCCTGACTTCTCTCAGTAATGGATTGAGACCTAGAAGTGTAAACTAAGAAAACCTTTTCCTCCATAAGTTGTGTTGGTCACAGTGTTGTGTTTATCACAACAATAGAGGTATCTGGAGATGGGTAAGGAACAGATTGACAACATTCCCTTCTCCTTTCAGCATAAATGCTTAATTATTAGGGTATTGCTTCTCTCACAGAGATTTTTTTAAAAAATCCTTTGCACTGTTTAGTCTTTGAGGCTGTGATGTATAAATAAGAATCCATCACTCAATGTACAGTGTGGCATCTCTAATTTAATTTTTTGTGTATGATTCCCGTATGACTTGGAAAGTCAAGGATTCATATATTTCGGGACAGTATGCCCATAACAGGTTAAACTATTAGTTTTCAATTTGTAAAACTCATAGAAAATAAAAATGAAGCTCCCAGTCTCTAAATTGTCTTTTTATCATGTTTGCTTAGGAAAAACACTCATTGTTTCTGAAAAAAAGAAACCCTCGAGCCTGGAAGTCTCTCCCTCATGTCACTGCTCTCTACCATGGACATACCCTGGTTTCCCTCCCACATACATCTATCTTCATAACCAATAGGAGAAACAGAAAGCTTAGAAGGCTAACAGGAGAAAAAAATAACAGCAAGGACTTCAAGTAACGTCAGAATTACAGAATAAAGTAGAAAGCTCAGGCTAACCCCTTCTAGCCAAAGTTTTCTATAAAACAATTAAATGTATTTTAAAACAACAAGGACATGCTTAGTTTCCCATTTACTGTGTCATCATTTCATTCATGTCAGTGTGTTTATTTTCAAAAGGCAATGGTCTCTAACAATTCTTAAACAATCTTATGTGAATCTTGCACAAACAAGTTGGCCTTCTAATTTCTATGTAGTTTGAAAGCCAGTTTGGTGATTTTCACTAAATAGTAATGCTCATTTTCCTATGGACTTTATAAAGTGAGTTCACTTTATTATATATTTCTCCTCACATGTTTTCTGTAACAAGTACATTTTTCTTTACTGTACAACACTGCTCTAACTGGAAACAGAGATGACGGATTGTGTTGATTATAAATACTAACCTAGTGCCTAATCTCCTAGTTCGTAGCCCCATAAAAATGGACCTTATTAGTTTTCCAAAAGAGGCAGCGTTGACTGGGTCCAGTTTGTGTTCCTGACAGTGTCGAAGATAGTGGTTGTACAGAGTGCTTCTTGGAAGGCTCACTCCTTCTGCTGTCTCATAATTGTCCAACAGCCACTGGAGCTGTTAAGATAAGAAAGAATAAGCAGAGAATTCACGTAATTTGCTAAAACTTCGGCAAGATACAGCATGGACAAATACTTGGAAGCACTTCATTAACCCTTAGGATAAACTGTGATAATCCAGAGGCCGGCACATGTGACTTTCTAAGCTCTGGAAAACATCACAGCAGTTATGGGTTTAGACAATATCTTTTCTTCAGTTTTCAAGTATAAGTAGAGATACTAATTTTTCCAATATTGGCTTTAACCCTGGAGATACGTACTTTTTTAAGTAATTAAAATAACAGCATTTATTGGTCAAAAATGCACAATATAATTATTTATTATTGTTATAAAACAAAACATTCTACTAAACCTGGCAACATGACACCTATTATATTCTAGACCGGGCAACATGGCACCTAATTCATCTTTTACACTGAGTTATTACAATAAGTAATCAGTATGCTTACTTGTATGAGGTTTTAATGAAAAATTTATTCACTTTTGTAGAATGATAATTTATCTGAAATGGCTGCTAGATAATACAATAACATTTTATCTAATGGGATAAATGCTGCTATAGGCAAAATTTAGTCATTCTTCCCCCCCCCCAAAGGACACTTGCTAGAAGTTACAAATAACTTTGATATAATGAAAGGTAATAATTTTATAATCCTCTCAATTTTCTGCCTCAAACTTGAAGTGTCTTTTTTCTTCAAAAATTTGGAAGGCTAAATAATAAATAATGTTTTCTTGGCCTATAGTTAACATTTAAATTTTTTATATTATACTTTTTAAAAAGATAATGTTTAAAATCGGAACGTACAAGAAAAATCTCTGCCATATATATATTATTAAATTTTAACTTACTCATTTACTTACTTGAAAAAGAGGCAAAGCAAACATAAATGATTTTCCTAAGGTTACAGCATTGTCTCAGTGTCTGAGCGTGGTTTCTAATTCTTGTTTCCTAATTGCTTAGACCAAAAGGCCATCAAAGCAGCAAATGCCTCATATTACTTGTCTTAATAATATCCACGACATTTATAAATGGTATTATTAAAGAGCAAACACTGAACCTGAGCATGTAGTTAAATATGAATTATGAAAGTAAAACAATGCAAAGATGAATGAGAATTGTCCTCTGAGTAGTAAATCAAAGGCTAAAAGGTGATGATGACCTGAATATTCAAGTAAATTAATACTTAATAATTAATAATTAATAATAATTAATACTCAAAGAATTACTCTATTTTATCTATCTAGTTTAAGTCTTTTGATTAAACTTACAGAATTTTCAGTTTTATTAAAAATTATAAAATATTTTGATTATTTTTATCTATGACAACTGAATTTTACTAGAGCATGTTAACTTCAAATATCTTTAAGAATTCATTAAATAGTTAAATATGTATCATCAATACATATTGAAGTTGTTAATGGCTTGGAAAATACACCACAAAGCATATAAGATACTTATAGAAATAAAAGTATGTCCCATTCAGGAAGAATTTTAGTTTCATAAGGAACATATATCTGTATGAATAAACAAACTTAAAATACATATTAATACTGTATGATATATAATTCAATACTATAAGACACTAAAAAGATTACACAAAATTAGCTCTCCTTTTTATATTGACAGAAAAATATTACAGGTCATTTCGTAGCATTTACTTTTAGCCTTTGAATCAGTAAAACGTTTCAGAGACACTCAAATGTGAGTGTTGTGTACTGAAAATAATGCGCAATACAGGTTCTCTATAAACTTAGGTCCAAACAAGAAACATCAGATTTAAGCTCACTCAATGCAGTAAGTCTCTGAGGTTGAAATCAGTACTCTGCTTGGAACAGCAGGCTAGCATGTTCCTTTAGAGTTTTTACCTTTTGCAAATTTCAAAAAAAATTAACTATAAAACACAGGTAGGAAAGACAAAACACAGCAATACAAACCTGACTCACATTTCATCCACGCGCCTCAGTAAAATGATCAGGATGTGGAAGCACTTCAAGTGGAATTCAAGTAGCCATTGTGAGCCACAATGCACCAAAGTGTGCTACAGTCTTTCAGACAGGTGCTAGATAGAGCAAGGTACAACTACCTTCTATTGGTATTTTAACATGTTAAAAATAAGAACATAGACCCTTGATATCAAGAGTTGACAAAAAAATGCTATTTTAAAAAAGCTCTTAGAAGAATTCTGTATAAAGTAAAATTATTTTGAGGCATTTCAAATGATGTAAAAAATTTCTTATAAACACTGCATGCACTGTAGAACACATTTAAGTTGAAAGTACTTAATATGTATGTGTGTCCCCATAAAAACATGATTAAGAAAGGAGTGAAATAATTCAATATATTTTCCTTTGTTAACGAGAGGTGGTAGATTTATATAGAAAATCTTAGTTTAAAGGACATTTCCCCTCTGAATTGGAACAGTCAACTTTAAAATGTGAACTTTATAACCACAATATACAACTAAAAATAGATCAATATAAACAATTTTAATGTGACGTAAACAAATGAAAACACTTACTTACAGAAATAAACCGTTTAATATTACCTTAGTTGTAAGCTAGTCTCCTTACAACAAATAACTAAGTAGACGAGCTTACGCATTGCTTAGTCAAGGGTAATCTTATAGATAAAACATTTTGTAAAAGATTTTGAAAAAGCAAGTTTAAGTATTTGATAACTTTTTTGAACAGTGTATTTAATGAAACGGGGAAACCAGCGTAAGAATTGAAGGTCAACATAAAATGCTTCAAGGGCAACAGTGACTGTGTGAGAGCTACTCAGGTCAATTTTAGTAACAATTTTTATGTATTGTAATAAAAATCTTTATGGCAAAATGTCTTTTTTAATCAGAGCAAAACTACTCAGAATTCTAAATGGTGTTATTCACATCACAGTTGGAGAATTCAGAGAAAATGGAGATTTTATCAGAACAGCAGCTATTCATCCCTCTCATATTCAAGTAAAAACTTGAATGTGTTTTGAAAATTTCTTTTCTTCCTATATTGTTTATACTCCTCCAAATGTTTTACATTTTTAACTAGTTTTTTGAAAATATGAATCTGACTGATGTGACCATACACACGTGCATACTAAACAGTATCCAGCTGTGGCTGGTTTGTAAATTCCAGGACAGCTAGAATGACTAAGACTTGACAATAGCAAAGCTAAATTTGTGCTGCCTCCATCTCATGAGAAGGAGGTACTTTATTCCTTGCAGAAGCATGGAGGACACACAGAAGGAAAGAGGAGGGTCAACAGAGATAAAAGCCCTGAAAACAGGTGACTGGTGTGTTGCCATGGGTCCCATCTGGGAAGCCTGCCACCAACCACACCTATGGCTATTATCTTAGAAACTTTATGTAGAAGCAGCACACACTCTAGAACATGACTGAAAAGACTTAGAGATACAGCTGGAATATTTAATCTACAATTTACATACTAGTGTTTAATTTTCTGATTTTGACCCATGATGAAACTATAAATCAGATATTGAATGTAAAACTTACGATTAGATAAGCATTATTTTATTATTAAAGAAATTGAGCATACATTTCTGTAATACAATGTAAAAGATTATGTATGTCCCACATGCTACCTACCCAAATGAGGTGAACAATTTTTTATAAGGTACATTGTTTCATGCTGCTTTCTCTTTAACAAAATGTACTCAGACATTAGAATTCAATACTCTTAACATTTAGTAGTTTAGAATACAACTATCTATTTCTCTTATTTTTTTCTTTTAATAAACTATCTTTTAAAGTGATTATATTTACAAGCTTGTGAAAGATTTTAAAGCTTGTGAAATATCATAGAAAAATTTAACCTTTATCCTTAAACATAATTATTCTACTAATGAACGAACATATCCTCATCTAAGGGCAGAAAGCAAGATAATTGCACCTTTCAACCTTTTCATTTAATCTGTATTAATCAGAAAAGATTATAGAGGATGAATAGTTCCTATTTTTCCTAAAGTGAAACACTGATTGACAAATAAAAATAAATAAATAAGGTATTGCCCAATTAACATCTAAATGTAACATCTGGCATTTTCCAGGTGAATTAGTATCAACTAGGCATCCCTTTATGTTAAGTGCGCCAGTTATACACTTTGACAGGCCCATAGTAACTGTAACTTCTATTTACAATACAGCTAAGTGAGCGGTGGGTGAATGACTAAAAAACAAGGCTTTACTTTAAGCTGAATATATATCAGTAGCTTAAGCCTGTAGGCATTATGAATCAGTTGTCTCCTAGATTATGAAAATTCTGAAAACAGAAATGCCTAGAGGTTTTCATATACCTAAGTGGAATTAACAAGATACACATGCTTAAGTGCACTATGCAAAAGGTCGTAACAATCAATTTAACAATTCTAGGTTGAAATTTACCATCTAATGTATCCAAAATTGGATATAATATGAATATTAAATGAAAACATATATTAATTACAGCTGAGAGCATAAGACAAGCTTAAGTTTGCAACTAAAAGAGTTAGATATTCTATGGTCTTAGGCAGATATATAAAATTTACAAATAGCATTTTCACATACATAAAATTAAAAAAAAATACATACATAAAGTATTATACCAAAGGAGTTCTTCAGAACCAAAATCAAAGCAAATTCTAAGATGCAAAGAAATGAGTCATATCACGTTGGGGTACAACTTTTTAAATGATTAGGTTGAGAGAAAATAAGTTACTCTGAATCTTAAGGATGTATGTGGGAAATTATAAAGTGACCCACATATTCTTCACCTAGTTAGAATGTTGAAAGAGAACCCTCTACCAAGACATAAAACTGACTGAATAATATGTGGGACAAAAAAAAATCAATACAGTGTATGCATGAGATCTAAACAGGCATATGCATGACTGGGGAAAGAAACCTCAAACATTACAGGTAAGGTTTGTGTCCTTCTACTATTTCTTATATTCATCTAGTCTGCAAATATTTGGTGCAAATCTACTCCTATGTACCAGAACTGTTTTAGGCAGGGGGCTGTGCTAGATGGCAAACCTTAAAAAGCTTTATTTCCCTCCTGATTTTTTTTCTAGCCAATAAATATTTATTGGTTGTCTATGATGTGCTGACATAATGCCACCAGGTTAACATTATAAACAGATGAAACACTGTATAACTTTCCTCAGCTGGAACATACTGTCTTGTACAAAATACAGATGGTGTCCTTGCATTTTAATGTGGACGATAACAGCATATTGAAAATAAAAAAATATGGATTAGTAGCATACAATATTCTCAAAAGCACACCAGAAGAGGGTGGGAATATACTGTTGGCGAGAGTGCTGGCTACTCTTCCAGGGGACCTGGGTTTGATTACCAGCACCCACACGGCAGCTCACAACCATTTCCAGTCACAGGGGATCCACTGCTCTCCTCTTTCCTTACTGGACACCAGGAATACATGTGGTATACATACAAACATTCAGACTTGAGAGAATGGGATATAAGATGTGATATACTGCTCCATCATTAAATGTGTGGAAAGAAGGGGAGAGAGTCAATTGGATTTGATTAGAAAGGTATCATATATGGTATTTGCATGAAATGATTTTTTTGTATCGTTAAAAATTAAATGCATACAGATAAAAGGGAAATAATTTCTGCACCATATTGCAAAATAAAATAAGAGATTATATGTTCAAATTTATTATTAAGCATCATTTTAGGACGTTTAAATATGGATATACATTATAGATAATTTCCCTAATTTTCTTCCTAATGAAATTGATCATTTGTAAAAACTGATAATTCAGAGAACTAATTATCATAAAGGTGAATCTACTTCTACCACAAAGAATCCTATAGACCTCTAATAATTCTTTATTATACCCTCGTGATTAAAAAAGGTAACAAAGTTCATTAGCATCTAAAAATGAACAATATTTTCTAAAATACTATTTCATTATCAAACTTTTATACAACAAATCTCCAACTAAGTCTGGAGAATTTGGAACAACTTCAGAAAGAAGTTATTGGCCAGAATCCACATACTAAGTAGCATTTTATTCCAGCAGTTGGGGAAAATCCAGTGACAGTCAGGAGCATCACAAATGTCCCAAGGAAAAGACAGTAGAAACATTTTTGCATTCAAGGAGAAGCTAAGCTAATGGGCAGCAGCAAAACACTGATCCTGTTGCTTCTATTCACAGAAGTGCATTCTACATGTAGTTTTGAACAAACATGACTACGTCATAGACATAATAAAGTGAGTGAAGCCAATAAACAAACATTTTCGCCACAAGAGCAATATCTGTGTCCACTCTTCCTACATAGTGAAATGCAGCTATGAGGCTTAAACATATAGAAGATTTGCTAAATATGCAATAAAAACTCAAAACCAGGAAGACCACATAATTATTTTGTTTGAGCAGCTTCATTCACAACTGTCATTGATAATGTTAGTTCATAAGTTCTAATTAAAGAAAATAATTTTAAATATCCCAATACATTTCAAAAGTTTCAAACAAATAGAAACATTAAAAAAATGTTTATACCTATATTACTGTTTATAAAAATATCAATATATTTGGCTTATTGAAGTTAAATTTAATAAACATATTATGTATTTCATATCTCAAAACAGAAATAAGAATTGACTTTCAGAGACAATTTAGAAATCTGAAAATTTCAAAAGAGCAATTATAAATTTCTATTTATTTTTAAAAACACTTACATGCCTGCACATTTTTAGTTGGAAGTGTAAGCATTTTCACTTTCTATATACAACTATACAAACTGGCAAATGCATCCTAATAACATATGGTAAACTGGCCTTTAACACAACCACAGAACCATTCCAATGAGCAGAATATATGTAAGAACAAAGAATAGAGAATAGTGTTCAAGTTGTTTTAAAAAAGAGATGACAAAATATAAATCCTTGTTTTAATGTTTCTATATATAATTTTTACTAAAATTCTAGACCTTCTACAAATTGGCTAACATGTTTTGTTTACCAAGATGCTTCTGTTGAAAAAGGAATGAATCAAACACCTCCTCCAAAAACAAACATTAGAACATCAGAAGGAACTATTACTTTGGAATACAAATCTGAAATAGTTCAAAATTTAAACACTATTGAAAAGATTCATAGTGAAACATTTCCTATAAACTACATGGTTGTTAAAAATACTACAGCTTTTTTTTCTGAAAAATTAATGTTATTGTATTTCAGTGATCCTAATTTTAAACTTTTTAGTCATAAAAATACTAATAAAAATTAAGAAATCATAACAAATTATCTGTAAATTTAAAAAAACGTTGTTTTGGAAGGAAAATTCTAATTCTTACATGTCACTAATGCTAACTTAGCAGCTCTATCTACAATTGACTTAAGTCACATGTCCATTCACTTCCCTATACATTCAGAAATCACCTACTAAAAATAACTGTAACAAGCATTTTCACTCATTTCTTCAACTCTGAACAGATGATGCCAATGTTTACCTCACAGAACTTACCAGCGTTACAGTGATGCTGGCCGGGAACAGTGAGAGCCTCAGGAGGCCGCGAGACCATTTTGCGCCCCTCTGGGATTAAGCAAGTCAGGGCTTATGGATAACTTCAGTGTTGGCCCATTTTCACTTTTCTTCAGTGTTTAGGACCCGAGTTTGCCCATGACTGTGACCTACCTACTTTCTAGTCTTAGCAGTGATAACATTTAAACAGTTTGCCACTGCTTTTGGCATTAGAGACCTCTAATCCATTTAGAGAGTCATACCAGTCACAGATGGACATGGTCGCTTCTGGGCCTCTGACATAAAGAGGTATACTACAATGTTTTGCTTCAGGGGAAATAAATATGTGGCTAAAAAAAAAATCTTTAAATGTTTACAATAAGTATTAGTTATATTTCAGAAATAGTGGCTTGTCATGAAATTTAAATTTGTATATATAGACCAAAAGTACAGACAACTCATGAAGCAGCACTCTTTGGTTTTGTTTTGAGATAACACACTGTGTCAAACAGGCATTAAATGATTAGAGTCTGAAGAGGCTTGAGAAAGGAAGGTTAGGAAGCAAAATAAATAAGGAAATAAATAAAACAAGCACTTAGAAGCAAGCAACACATGCAGAACAAGCAAGAGATTAGTGTACATGAAGAGGCAACTTACATGGCTGTTGAGAAGAGAGCTTCTGTGAGTGGACAGACCGTCAGACTTTTGCAGCGTCTCAATCGCCATTTCAATCTGATAATAGATGTCATTAAAAAAAGGGCTCAAGACAAGATAGTAATAAAAGGCTGACCAGAGAATTTCTGATTGATTCTTAAAAGTCTAATTCATTCTTCAATGATGGCTAATGAATAGCTATCACTTAATGTGTTTCCCCCCAGCGTTCCCATCCCTCGAGAATGAAATATGATATGCACATTAATAATAAGCTCAACTACAAAAGTAATCCTTTCTGAACACTTTGTAATTATAATCAGTATGGAGACCCAAGGATCGAGAACACTGGCAGATTGTTCTAGTTTAAGAAATTTTTTTTTCTTGCCTAGTTCAAAATGTGGGATATTAGCCCCTCTCTAAATAGTCTTACTCCTAAAGCATATTTAACATTTGTTCTATTCTGTCACAAAACAAAAATCAAGAAACTGAATCTGAGTTTAATATGCATTAGTATTTTAATGCAAGTTACAAAAACCCTTCATTATGCCTAAAAGCTAGTAAATTTACACATCCCTCTTTTCCTCTTGCATTAAAATTTAGAAGGGAAAGGTCAGTCAGGTGAGCATTCAGATGTGACTATGGTCTCTACATTGTATTTTAGGGCAAGATAATGAAGCAGAAATATTAGAAATAATAGCAGAAAAAGGAGTAGAAGAGAAAATAACTCAAAGCCAACAAAAAGTGGACAAGAACAGAATCAGTTATATTCAATGTAATCCCAGCAAACTACAGGCAATCACAAAATCATTCTTAAGCAACTGCTTCCAGGAACAAGCCTTAGGTACTCTTGATGACCTCACATGTAAGACAGTGATAGTTCATAGCACTACTATACATTCTATTGAAACTAAACAGAATGCATTTAGAAGCAGATTTAGAGCAAAATAATAGCTAATTAAAATATCATTATGCAATTTGAGAAAACAAATTTCATTATTTTCAACACTGTGTAAACATCATCAATTCAGTGTAAGCAGTTACCAATCCATAAAAATGTACAATCTAGTCTATAGTTAGCTGTCACTGAGATCATAAAACTAGGCAAAGTGGCTTTTAAATCATTCTCCCCATCAGTTGAGATGCTAACAGAGTTAACAGTAAACTTGAAAATAATAAGAAGAAAGTGATATTATTCACCTTAAAATAAGTACATTTAAAAATACATGATTTAAGTTTAAGGAGTAAACAAACATTTTCCCCCCACCAAAATGATAAACTAATGCTTGGTATTAGATCTCTCTTTTAAATTTATTTTTATTTTTGTTTTATGTGCATTGTTGTTTTGTCTGCATGTTTGTCTATGTGAGAGTCCTAGAGTCACAGACAGTTTGTGAGCTGCTATATGGGTGCTGGGAACTGAACCCAGGTCCTCTGGAAAAGCAGTCAGTGATCCTAAACTGCTGAGCCATCTCTTCAGCCTTGGTGTTAAATCTCCTAAGAGGTATCAAGAAGTGCTCTTGCTTTCAAAAGGAAAAGACAGCACATAAGACAACTGAAAACATTCATGTGATTACAAAGCATTTCTAAGAAAAATTTGCTCAAAATTATACTTTGTTCAAATGCCTACAATTTCTTTAAAGTTTCAGAGTGGAAATTTAGAGGAGAGATTGCATTTTTATAAGTAAATATAAAATGAGCCATACCTTGTGATTTTATAAATTCAAATGTAAGATAAAAATTACCAAAATTATAACAGCCGAATCACATTCAGGAATAAATCCTCACTAAGGGTTTGTGAGGGAGCAGCTTTAAGTCAGTTCAGCAAGCAACTGGTTTCCTTAGTGTCTGTGTTGTAGAAGCTGCTACTATGGTGGCGCCTGATTCCCAGCTGATGCTCCACAAGGCCAGGTTGTCAGGAAATGAACCTCTCCACTCGGGCTACTTTCTGGTTTTATTTTATTTTTTTGTATGTTGAAGATTGCTCGCAGCCCTTCTACTGAGCCATATACAGTCCTCTAAATCCAGTAGAGAAGCCAGGAGAAAGGAGCTCTGAGAAAGGTAGCAAAATTAGGCAAGGCAAACCAGGTCCAACTGCATCCACCAGGACAGGTATACTGACTGTCTAAAAGGTGTTGGTCCTTCATAATTCATCCCTACCAGATAATTTGTAAGCTATGAAATTCAAGCTATAATTTCAAAACTGTGAATCCTGTACTCACATAACATATATTTAAGTAGAGTTATAAATCTTTAGATTTTCTCCTTGTCTACATTTTTCCCGAATTTGAAATTCATACTAAAAGAGAAGTATTCCCTTGTGAAAAACACAAAGACAGTGTATGCTAGGGAGCAAGAGCTGACGTAAACTAGGAAGCAAGAAAGCACAGTGCGTGCTCAAATTCGGGAAAGAAAAATGACTGTAGCAAGTCCAGGAAAGAAAATCAGATGGTTACTGTTATGGACAGTCTTGACTGTACCAGAAGCACCCAGGAGAGGAGAGCACACCTTTAGGGGTGGCTGTGAGGCTTAACAGAGAACAGCTAAGAGGAAACACACGCCAATGTGAGGAGTGTTCCATAGGTTGGGAGTCCAGGTAGAATAAAAAGAGGAAAATAGGAACGCCTCCACCGACACTCTCTTTCTGGCCTTTCCCTGCTCGCACTAAGGTGGACGCCCAGGCATGCTCTGACGCACGTGACCGAATGCCAGCATTCACACAGAAAGCCTAGCGTGTAACTCAAGTGCTGTCAGGAGTTGACACAGGAGGATTGCTGGGTTGGCTGGCCCAACAAAACAGAAACACAAAAATAAATTAAAAGAAGCTATTTACATCTGGAAGATAAGAGTACCTCAAGGGCATGTGAGGAATGAACCAGACCATACCCATTCTAAGGGGCAAGAGAAGGAAAGTTTCAATTCATTGCAAAGACTTGAGAAGACAACTCCAGTGCCCCTTGCTCCACAGGACTGCCTAGGAAAGAATTTCAGTTTGTATTAAGCCACCCGGGCATTCTGAAGCTACTGCAGCCACAGTGCAAGAGACCCAAGCTGGTATCAGATCTTGATGCTGTCCACATGATGCTTAGTTCTGTAGACATATAGAATGTTAACAGTTCCAAGGTGATGGAGCATTCTACCCAGATTTCAACGGTAGGCTTGGAAATCCAGACCAGTGTGTGTCAGGGTCAGAATCCCTGCAGGTAGCTCTTGAGAGGGCAAACTTGGTGAAGCAGTGAGACTGAAAAGATGAAACGGAGAACCCCTGAGAGTATGATATTCTGGGGAGATGGAATGTCTGCGGAGGAAAGCTTTAGTCAATGAGTAGAGTCAACTAAAAAGAAAAGGTACTGACAAGTAGCAAGGTTGTAGGGTCAGGGATTCCCAAGTGCTTTGGAGCATACATCAACATGTCAGAGATGGTGGACATGGAGGTACAGAACTTCATGCCTGCCATGCTGGGTTTCAGATTTGGTTTGGTCCTCTCCCTCTTCTGTGCTCTAATTCCTTGTACAGCTGTATACAGGTAGCAGTACATATGTTAACTTCAGAGCTGGCTCTCAGCAAAGACTTTGCCTTCAGCCTCAGACTTTAGACATCTGAACAATCTTGAAATATTGACTTTAGAGACTTTTTGTGGAAGAGATTAAAAGCATTTCACAGTATGAGGTAGTCATGAGCTTTTGGGACAGGGGCAGAATGTAATAATTTGAATATGAAATGTCCCCAGAAATTCATGTGTTGAATTCTTGGACCCATTTTGAAAAGCCGTGGAAATGTAAGGGAGTAATTGTAAAAAAAGAAGGAAACTGTGTGGGTTCTTAAAGGTGCTGAGTGGTTCTTGATTGCCTATTTTCTCTGCTTCCTGGCCACCACAAGGTAATTTATTCAGCCATAAGCTCCTAGCACATGGGACCAGCCAATCATGGCTCAAACTGTGAGTTGTAATAAATTCTCCCTTGTTCTCTTCCTCCTCTCCTTTCAGGTGTTTGTCACAGCAACAAAAATTTGACTTACATACTCACAAATGTAGTAAAAACTACCATGTGGCAATAAGTACACCTACACTTGGTTCTTTTGGCTCAAGAAAAAGAATTGATGCGTGAACTTTGTAAGGCAGAAAACATTTAAAAATATATCAAATATGCAAATATAGTAGACTAGAACAGTAAGAAAATATTCTGTATTTTCTAAGGAATTGGGATTTGAAGATCTGAAGAAGCATGGAGATAAAGTATTTTCCACCCAGGAGGGAGAGTAATGAATTCAGCACTGCTCCTACAAACACTCAGCAACTCCTCCAGGAAGAACTTGGCGTGGACACAGTCTTTATTATCTAATGGGAAAGAAAGCTAGAATAGCAAGTACACAGCTCAAAGCTCAGGCTGAAACATTCTCATGAGCACCACATGCTGCCTTCCCAGAGTTGTGAATATGGTGGCAGGCCCCAAGGCTGCAGAGCCACACTATGTTACCCACGGCGATGACAATGACATCGATAGCTCAAAAGGGACTTCAGACCCACCTAGGTCCTGAATGAAAGAGGACCAGAGTGGAAAGAAGAGGGTCCAATGATGCTTGGATGTTAAACTGCATTTTTATTTTTTCACTCATACTCGAAAAGAAGATTAATAATGTCTTTTCTAAAAGAGTGCACAGTGTCAATGAAATGGAAGTAACAATTTCACTGTTATTATTCTCTACTATAATTATTACACTCACTGCCTTCTAAAAAGGAGAATGGCTCTAATGGGGTGGGTTCTTTGCTGAGCTGCTGCCATATATTAGTGTTCTACTAAGTGGTTGAGAAGGCTAGAGGAGATCAGAACCCCTGAGAAGATGGAGGGTCATTTGCATAATGCATGGATAGACAAGATAGGGTGCTACACAGAGGCTTTCTGTGACTATATTTTAGAAAGTATGGTAAGTGTTCAAATTCTTTTGTAAGTCTTCAGTAAAATGGGGCTGAAGAGCTGTTAGAGCACCACCTGCTCTGCACAACATCTAAGGTCAGTTCCTGGCGCCTATGCCAGGCATCTCATGATCATCCATGACTCTACTTCCTAGGGATTTGATGCCCT